TAATTTGATTCTAAATTTTTATATTCTTTCCATCGAAAAGTGGGATTCCTATTTTTCCAAGAGTTTGATGCAAAATGTTGCGTTAGTTAAATACGTCGTCGTCGTGAAAAGATCGATGCAACACCTAATGATTTTTTCCCCGCAGTTGTTGAGCGCGAGAGAAACCCTTAATTATTCTGTGCGCGTATCTACGAGCTAATCGAATAATGTCCATCACTCTGTGAACCTCTGGAAAGCTACGCTCGAAAACCAGCTCCGGTCCCTTTGTCAGGCAAGCTTAATTTAATCTTTCACGCATTTCACGACATTTTGCTTTTATATTGTGTTTACATCTCGCGGGATTTCTTGTGCTGCTGTAGTGTGACGTTTCTCTGAGAGTAAGTTAGAATTCGTCGCGCGAGTACGATCAAAGAATCGCCGAAACGACACGTATGAACGTCCGGGCGAACAACGTGTCACGAATTCTCCTCTTCGACGCATTCCAGCACCGGCAAATATGCGTTTGGCTCATCCCGATGTCACGGCCGCGTCGCTAGAATATCCCTTCCCGACCTTGTCTTATCGAATCGACTCGGGACTCCGCGAACGAATCGCAACGAATTCCGTCCGACTGCACATGGATCTATCTCTTAAATGTATTTAAAGTTACGTGTTGTTAAAAGCTGATAAATCTCCCTCGCAACAACGAGACAAATAGCTCGCAAACAGACAGCGCCGACAATTCATCCTTTTAACAACGATTACGATATCAAGCATATAATTTATGCCAATTAGAAAGCATAACTTTACAGAACTGTAATATGTCGGACCTCACGGCGCGTAATTGCCATGAAAAAGTTTATTGCCAATGTCTGGCGTGCTCGTCCCGTGCATAATAGTATAAAACTAAGCGCTTGCATAATAGAGTGTCAGCTTATATAATAGAATTACAGTCACGTAATAAAATCAATTGCAACTGTCAATGCGCTATTAGATAATTTGTGTTTCTTTTCTTTTTATGAGAAACGACGAAATACGCGAAGCATCTTCGTTTTACATTTTAATCAATAATACAAACTGTATGTAAGGGAAAAAGCACGTGTACACTGTAAAAAAAAGTATGTAAGATTACGTACATAATATAATAAGTGTAGCGATTACACTATTAATAACGGAAATATACAAATTCATGTACTTTTGCAAAAAAAATTGCTTTTACTACTTGTACAAATACTTGTTTATTCATGATAGAAAATTACACAAAAACTGTAAAACTTAATTAAAAGCAAGCAGTAATTTTATCTACAAAGTGTACATTCACTGACGTGTGTAAACATACACTTTTAATAGAGAGCCGCAATATTACCTACTGTAATAATTGCAACTTTACATGTAATTTCTTTACAGTGTAGTGTAGAGCTTGGGGTGATTTTTCGGTGGAAAAATTCATGTACTTTTGCAAAAATTGTTTTTTTTACTCTTCGTTGTGTAAATATTATACTTGTTCATACGTGATGAAAAATTACAGAAAATTGTAAAATTTACACATTTAAACGCAAGCAGTTTACTCATTACACAAGATAATAATTCTATCTACAAGGTGCAAACTTACTAACGTGTGTAAACGAACACCTTTAACAGAGGGCCCCAATATTGTCCACTGTAATAATTGCAATTTTACATGAAATTTTTTTTACAGTGCAGTGTAGAGCTTGGGATAATTTTTCGGTGGAAAAATTCACGTACTTTTGCAAAAATTGTTTTTTTTTACTCTTCGTAGTGTAAATACTCGTTAATACGTGATGAAAAATCACAAAAAATTGTAAAATTTACACATTTAAACGCAAGCAGTTTACTTATTACACAAGGTAATAATTTTACCTACACGGTGTAAATTTACTGACGTACGTAAACGAACACCTTTAACAGAGGGCCCCAATATTGTCCACTGTAATAATTGCAATTTTACATGAAATTTTTTTTACAGTGCAGTGTAGAGCTTGGGATAATTTTTCGGTGGAAAAATTCACGTACTTTTGCAAAAATTGTTTTTTTTTACTCTTCGTAGTGTAAATACTCGTTAATACGTGATGAAAAATCACAAAAAATTGTAAAATTTACACATTTAAACGCAAGCAGTTTACTTATTACACAAGGTAATAATTTTACCTACACGGTGTAAATTTGCTGACGTACTTAAACGTACACCTTTAACAGAGGGCCGTAATATTACCGACTGTAATAACTGCAATTTTACATGTAATTTTGTTGTTTACAGCGTAGTGTAAAGAGCCTGCGTGCAATTTTCCGGTGGAAAAATTTTAATTACATACTTCCAGCTTCTTGATACTAAGGTGAAGGCTACTTAGGTACAAGGATAGAACGTCGTGCGCTTGTGATATAACTCCGCGACTAATTAGCGGAGGGAACTCGCGTAATTAAGCGATCGCGCAACGGATCATTATGCCGGTACAACGGGATCAAGGGGTCACTTATCGATTCTGTAACCGGGCGCGACCCCGTGGAACGAAAGAAGATCGGAGCGTGAAAAAGGGAGAGGGGCGGAAAGAGCGGCGCGGATGAGCTTGCAAGCACGCGGGACGTAGCGGGGGGTCTTTAGTCACGGTGCTAAATATAACGGCCGACCGGTCGACTCGCTCGACGCGCGTTCGACGCGTTCGACGCGCGATCGTCCGTAGGCGCGAAAGCTCCGCATGCAAATTCCCACGAGCTTTTAAAGAGGCGCTGCCCGAGCGTGTCGAGAGTAGGAGTGCAGACACGCCGAGAGACACGGCCTTTTTCTTCCTCCCCTCTGACACGCGCACCGGTCTCGGATACGTACGAGCGCGGCTGACAGGTCCGCTCGTTTCACCATTTGCCTCGAGTCGGAACCCGCGCGACTTACCGATCGTTCGCGGTGGCCAACGCTGAAATTCTAAGTGCGCATCGTTCTCTCTTTTAATATTAGCTCTTCTTTCATGGGGAAACGACGCTGGCCGGTGATTTCGCGAATCGTATTGAAAATGGCGGAATGACACGCGCGAAATAAACAGTCTTAAAGAGCACCGCGGCGATCGATACATATTGAAAATACGGACAACTCAGTTTTCGCTGTTTATTTGGGTCTTTGCGTCGAAAAGTTTTCTTGGAAACTTTTCATCGTGGAAATTCCACGGAAATTGTTATCGATTATCGCCGAAGTTTCGCGCTGAAAACGAAGGAGCAGACGCGCTAGGAATTGAAGGAATAAAAGTACACGGCAAACGAGTAGTCACTCGCGACGATCGATTTGTTCGACGTGAGACTTTTTTTTTTTTTTAATAACACCATAGTTGTGGAAAATTGCATTAACAATTCAAATTAGGAGACGCGTGACAAAGGCACACACAGCGAGAGTTGTGTTTCATGTTGTGTAAAATTTGCGAAGGTCGTAAGATCGAGAAACGCAAATGCAAGTTGCACTAATTGCCGCTTCATCGATGCAGCTTACCGTGCCGTGGAGTATTTGGGCGCGATCAACTTGAAGCCCATGGGAAGAGTCCAAGAATAAAACGTTTGAGAGCGGCTTTTACGTACGGAAGCTTAAGAGCTCTACTTTGGCATCGCCCCGTTTCCGCCAAGCGGAATAGATTAAAGTGAGGGACCGGAAACGCGCGAGACGCGAGTGCATATTCTACGGCCGGACGCCGCTTCGCAGTGCATCGGTTTCGGGAAATTGCGAAACTACGCACTTGCCGTGCGCGATCGCACGGATTACTATGCGAGTGGAGAGCGTCGATGCTCGCGAAATCTCAGTACAGGTGGCCTACGTGGATGACAATGGACGCTGATCGCAAGCTCGTCAGTCAGCCGTCGGTGGACAGCGAGAATAACGAACGCGTCACCTCCGAGCGCGTGGGTAGCTCTTGTTTTCGATGTTTATAGACTAGGCACGGCTAATTCTGAATGAAAAAGCATTCTGGCCACCTTGAGTGAGCGTCGGATAAACTATTGACGTGCTACGCTGCAAAAGTACTTTTAAAATAATCTCAAGTGGGTCGCGTTTAAAAGTCACATGGTCACAGATATTATATTTAAAGATTAGTTTCGTCAACTTGCCAGTATAATAATAAAATTCCAAATTTCATTCGACTGGCCACATTTGTTAATTAACCGGTCAATGCGGAAAATTTATTGCGACAAATGTTACAATACCTCAGCCAGGGTTTGAACCTTGGGGAGGTCCAGGTTCCCTTGCATTCTTAAGTCACAAGACAGTTATTGTGCGTTACTTTAAGACGAAGATTTAAAACATAAAACATTAGTCTTAAGAGTACAAGACAGCCGTCCTGCTCAGGCCCTAACTCTCTAGGCGGCCAATTCGACCACTGAAGCATGTAGTAATATTATATTTGTCGCAATAACAGTATAAAGATGACATCGATATATTTAGTCTTTTTTTCTCCTTACTCGCGTGATTACAGAATGTATTCTTGTGAAAACAGAACTACATGTGTGTATTAAGAAATATTTGTGCATCTATATTTTTATTTTGAATCAAGGAGATGAAATCAAGAAACACGGCAAAAAAATTAAACACGAAAGATACAACTAAAAAGAGGATGTCTAATAATCGTGAAGATAAAAAGATTCTTTGGCGAAGGATTTTAAGACGAATTGAAAGCGCGTCTATTACGTACCTATATCATATATATTAGTCACTCAGGGTTGAAGCAGGGTTCAACAAGATCTTAATGCCGGCATCGCAATGTCGACACAAGCCCCAACACCTTGCAGCTCGTTGTCCACGTTGTATAACGACCATAATCAAACGCTTTGTACATACGCACGTGAAGCATCGCACGTGTACATCTTTCATAAGCACACGTGCGATCTTCATCACGAAACGATGCAATAATCGAGCTGTGACAGCTGTACTCGGTCGCCTCCCTCTCGTTCTCCATCTCGGTCAAACGTTTCCTTCTCTCACAATGTCACCCAATGAATACCTATCTTTTCTGATTGTCTTTTCTGCATTGCAGGACACGAGGACTCACGTGGTCGTGGAACTTTACGATACGGAACGCTCCTATGTAGAGGCGCTACAAATACTAGTCAATGTAAGTACGTTTATTGACTCAATACATTCGAAAGGAGGACTCAATTCTTTATGAAATGGAGTTCTCGGGGCAGCGAAACAATTAAATATCCTATAAAATATATTTTCTATTTAATCATTAATCTATATAACAATATAATCAACCTTTAGCTAATAAAAATTCTAACGATTCTAAAGATTCTTTCTGACATGCAACACACTTTTGTTGACCAGCTGACTCTTCTTAGATTAGTTTTCTCTAAAACATAGCACAATATACGTTTCTCAATATTTTCTTCTTAATTATAATCAACCTTTAACTAGTAAAACTTCTAACGATTCTAAAGATTCTTTCTGACATGCAGCACACTTTTGTTGACCAGCTGACTCTTCTTAGTTTTCTCTAAAACATAGCACAATATACGTTTCTCAATATTTTCTTCTTAATTATAATCAACCTTTAACTGATAAAACTTCTAACGATTCTAAAGATTTTTTTCTGCCATGCAACACACTTTTGTTGACCAGCTGACTCTCCTTAGATTAGTTTTCTCTAAAACATATTGTAGCACAATATACGTTTTTCAATATTTTTTACTTAATTATAATCAACCTTTAACTAGTAAAACTTCTAACGATTCTAAAGATTCTTTCTGACATGCAGCACACTTTTGTTGACCAGCTGACTCTTCTTAGATTAGTTTTCTCTAAAACATAGCACGATATACGTTTCTCAATATTTTCTTCTTAATTATAATCAACCTTTAACTGATAAAACTTCTAACGATTCTAAAGATTTTTTTCTGACATGCAACACACTTTTGTTGACCAGCTGACTCTCCTTAGATTAGTTTTCTCTAAACATAGCACAATATACGTTTCTCAATATTTTTTATTTAATTATAATCAACCTTTAACTGATAAAACTTCTAACGATTCTAAAAATTCTTTCTGCCATGCAACACACTTTTGTTGACCAGCTGACTCCCCTTAGACCAATTTTCTCTAAAACAATATAGCACAATATACGTTTCTTGACACTCGTCAATACTGTTTCTATCTTTGACATTAATGAGCGTATAATTATGAAGACCCTTCTCAACTTCTAAAACCTTTACTAAGAAGGATAAGATTAAATATAGGCAAATAGAATTTTTTTCTAGAGAAATATTCCGGGCTAGGGTGATCAAGAGAGGGTTACATCGATCGATCTCTCGAGTCGCGACGTCGAAAGAAACGGCGTTGCACCGACGTACGTCGGAACTGCGATTCGTCCTTGCGTCTTGTAAACAAACACCCCCGCTCGTTTATTCGCTCCGATTGAACAACACCTTCGCTCCAGCGAGCTGTTGCTCGTTCGAACCAAGTACGCCTTCTCCGGCTTGTTGTTTTCATTAAATTTCCACTCCCGACTTCATAATCGCTTTTCGTTAAACACCGGAAATAGGTTTGAATACCAGGCCGTGATGACGAATAGTTACGGGAATCAGTCGGTTGGCGCGCTTGCATAATGTTACAAAAGACGCGATTAAACACGTATCGTTGTCCTCATTTTCTAAACTGAGAGAACGTTATTAGAAACAATTTGCGCTGCTATAATAATTAATTGCACAATTTGATTTTGATAATGTCAGTCATTGTTTAAACCAACGCTCTTCCTTTTTTACAAAGAATTTATAATTTATTAAGAAGATTTACTACCTAGGGCAAAATTTATATACACATTGCATAAAGACGTTACGCGTTCATGTGGTCAACTTTAATTAAAATAATTAACTTTTGACATTATTAATTAATAAAATTGAACTTCGAAATAACCTTTTCACGTGAAAATGTTACGGTACACCGTTGTTCCACAGCTTTCTGGAAAAGAAAGGTGTAACTGACTTAATTCGATGTAATAGCGAACCTGATAATTCGCATGTAATAAATATAATGCGGATGGTGAATGTGAAATATCGTACACTTTTACATTCGAATAACGAAAATTCGCAAGAGACAATCGTCAGCGGCGCATTAAATGCAACAGGCGGCAGGCCCGCCCCACGCAAGGCCGCGTTATACTTGTAATCTGATTTTCAGCCCGCGCTTGCGTCCTTGGTGGAATATTTTGTTTAATGGCACAATGCATTTAATACCCGCTGAAGGGCGCTTCGCGAAATTGATTACCGAATGAATTGCACAAGGCGATATTCTGTAAACACGCGTGTCAAGGTATCGGCTTCACCGTCGCGGGGTGGGAATAGTAATTTTTTACTCATCTAAATCCAATTCCCGACACGGATATTCCACGAAGAAGCAATTCCAGTGGGCGCCCGGCCGTTGTTTGCCATCTCTTTTACTCCTTGATTTCAAATTCGCTAAAATTAAACGCTCCTCCGGCAGTAGAAATACCTCGTCATCAGAATTTTTCAAGGTTAATTGCAATTTACTTTGAGACACGCGAAAGAGACAATAGAAGTGCTCCCTCGTACGAAAAGAATGAAATCTTGCGACACAAACGTGACGCACTGTTTTCAACAGAAAGAAAATTTTTTTTATGCACGCTTCTCCACTCGCGTGGTTATGTAACGTAGGCTTAAATTGTAACGGCGTTTATTTCGTCAAAAGCAATTTCTAACTTTGGTTCCTTTTTTTTCCACGGTTGAAATTTATGGAATTTTTTCAAGCACATGCATGAGAGTCGCTCGTGACCGTAAAATGAATCTTTGAACACGTGTGAGACGCGAGTCACATTAACGTGCAACGTGCTCTGTACAATTGCGTAGACTGCAGCCGGCGCTTTAATAAAAGCTATCCGGACAAACATTGGCTGCGGAACTGATGATGAGACCGATCTTTGTTTTAACTAATTACGCGTTTTATACGCTACTACGCTAATTGCACTGCCGTTTTGCGGCGCGATATAATTATTGAATCGAATAATTATGTTAATGCGCGCAACGATATTGTTGCAAGATTAATGCTACTCTATCGGGCAATTCATTGGAGGATGCCTCTCGAGTTGCCTATTATCAGTAATCGCTGTAAAACGATAATGCTACGGATTCGCAACCTTTCAAAATCTCGTTTCTCAACGTTTAACGATACAAATTACTCAGAACCTTTGCAATACTTTTAAAATATAATGAAGTCAATAAATATGTGCATATATAATGTGTGTGTATTTGAAACGTTTTTAAACTTTTTAATATTCTTCAATATTTTCTTTGTTTTTTGCGCGTTAATCCTATTTACGTTCCTTTTTAATTAAAAAAGAAAAAATTTAGAGTATAAAGTATTTAGACACTAACACCCTGTCGCGGCTCTCAGTCCTTTTAATCCTTCGAATTTGTGTTTATCACATTTCTGCCATACGAATTTTATTCATTTGTTAAAAAAGAAAACCTTTTTAAGGTGGCTCCTGCACGAAGGAGCGGTTAGTACGAGTGCTTTTGTGGGGCCTCTTTTATTTTTGTAAATTTGTATGACTTTTTTCATAAAAATATCACTTAATGCATTATCGATCGAATGCATTGATATACGCTAGGTTATATGTGCACATTTAAAAACAAATTTAAACATATCTTAGGTCTCAAAGAGCTGTCAAATTTCCTCGAAACGTGTTGTATCTTTTAACTTTACTAATAGGCAAAATTTGGAATGACTCGCCGGTGATTAATTAACAATTAGGTTGAATAATCCGACGCAGCTGGCTACAGGCAGAGTTCCTTTATTATAACACAACGTTTCGGCCATGGGTTTTGGCCCTTTTCAAGTGTATTTTACAGCATCTAGTCGGCATATGGCATGTGGTCAAATGCCATTAGACCCAGTTAAGCCCGTGTCCCACTACGTATTGCGGACGCGGATTGGATTGGGATTACGGATTGCGGATCGAAATTCAGCCAATCACAGCGAGGCAACTTGGGATCCGGATTGCAGATCGCAGGATAGACGACTGTCTATTTGTACGATCCGTAATCCAATCCGCGTCCGCAATACGTAGTGTGACACGGGCTTAAAGCCCGTGTCCCACTACGTACTGCGGACGC